CCAGATTTTTTTCACCCACAGTGGGGTGCGGGGCTGAAGATGAACCGCACCAGCCCCAGGCAGGAGCTGCCTCCACTGCCCAGCAAGCAGAACCCAGCATGAGAGGGAGCTCTGCACCACCATGGCTGCTGAGTTGAGGTGTCCCCTGCCTGCCCAACACCCGAAGGGGCACCACTATGCACCACAGTGCCTCACCTTGGTGGCACGGTGATCTCTTCCATGCTGGGTCCTGCCAACGGGGCTGTGTAAGTGGCTCCTGCCTGAGAATGGTCCAGTCCGGTTACAGTCCCATACCCCAGGCACAGAAATCTGAGGGGGCACATCCCTGTGCTCCTTTATCCTGTCCCCCATATATCACCTGTGCCCTCCCCACCCCCACGCACTGCCTATGCCCACATCCACCTTCCCCACACACCCACCCCCTTCCTCACATGCTGGGGGGCTGGGGCCTGAGAGCAGGGGACAGCAGATTGAGCGGGGCACCAGCAGGGCTGAGGGGATGGTGGGTCGTTGAGTGAGGGGCACCAGCAAGGCCGCGGGCTATAGGGCAGGAATGAGGGGCACTGGCAGGGCCATGGGGCTGTGAGTTGGGAAGGAGGAGCAATGGCATGGGCAGGGGTAGGGCACCAGCATATCAGGGGTTCTCAGCACCACAAAGCAGCAGAAGGGACAGCTGCAGCTGGACCCATGCCTTGGTGAGTGAAGGGGGCAGGGGGTATTCTGATTTTCCATGATAAAAAAAAAATCAAATGCCAAAATATATAGGTGTTTACAATGTATTTTATCATCATAATTGAGGCACTGGTAGGCTTCCAAATTGCTTTAAAATTGTAAATATATCAATAAAACATTGTGTTCAACTGATTCCATATATATATAGTGGCATTTCATTTTAATCATGGAAAAATGCAGATGGAGGTGGGGGTTAATAATAGAATTTGGGATTTTAAAACAGAAAACTAGGATCCCTGGTAATAAGCAACATGGAATTAGCTGGAGAAAGAAACAGCAAAATCAGTAATAGAAGCCAGAGGCGTAGCTAAGCAGCTCTGCCCAGGGGCAGCTGGGATGCATGAGGCAGTGCAGGCTGCCACCATGCCAATGACAACAGTGTGATCAGCTGTCACTGTAGCAACAGCTGTTTTTGTGCCCCTCCAACAAAGGTGGCATCCAGAGCTGTTGCCCTGGTCAGCCCCCTTCAGTTACACTACTGATATAAGCTATCAGTGATTAATGAAGAAGAACTCTTATGTATTCCCAAGATTAAAAGGGAATCTCAGTGTTTTCAGAGTTTTCATAAAAGGTCGTTCATAATTTGTTAGTTTAATAAATAAGTTTTCCTGGAGCCACCTCACCCATCATTTAAAAAGGTAATCAAGAGAAGATGATGAGATCCTGGATGACAGACTTAGTTGTAAAGACAAGAAAGAAAACCTTGAAACCTTCTAATCAACTACTGACTGTGTCAAAGTAGCAATATAAAGGACATTTTGGCTGTTGGTGTCTCTGATCCTATACCAATGAAGCCAAAAGGACTTTTACCATTGACTTCAGTGAGAGCAAGATTAAGTTTTGTGTGTGATCTATCAGTTTGTGCATCACATTTGGGTTCTGACTGTAGCTTTCTGTCCTGCTTTTTTTCTCCATCTGGACTCCCATTTAGTTCACAATCTTTGATATTTAGTAATCCAAAGTAAAAGCTGATGTAGCCTCTGAGTTCTTTTTTTCAGTGTCCTCAGCAAGCTTCATTCTCCATTCATCTTCATAAAATCATCCTGGTTCAGATGTCTCACATCAGTCTTCAGGCAAACAGAATGAGTCATCCTACTCTTGCCTTTGCCTCCCTATGTCTTTCCATTTCCAATTCTTCCTCCATTGTTGTGGTTTCCACCAGCCTTTCATCCATTATTGCCATCTCTTGCTGCAGCTTCTGGCTGCATTGGCTGACTCAGACTCTTTACCTGTCATTCATGAATATATACTTTCCCCTCCAACAAAAATACTAATTTGAACTTTATACCACAATGAAGGATCCTTTATACAAGGATTGCAAAAGACTGGGAAGAATAAAGGAAAATTACTGCTACATCAAAGATGCCCCAACAGTCAGTGCAGCCTCAGGACTGACTGATCACAATGAAATGCTCATGTTTCTTCAAAAACATGTTAGAGCACAGACAGTGCCTATGCAGAACTTCTTTTGTTCTGCTGTATCCTATTGTTTACTCACCAGTCTGTTTTCAGCCATCATCATCATTATTATTAAATAGCAAATTGCCAGTCAAGAATGATGGGGAGGATACTGGGGAAGCTTGCTAACCCTAACCCTACCCTGCCCCCCATGTCACTGCTGCCTCCCAGGAGCTGGGGGGGGGAGGAAGCTTGCCTCGCTGTCCCCTCCATCCCCCTTCACCAGCACCCTGTGTCGCTGCTGCCTCCAAGAAGCAGGGCTAGGTGGGAGGGGAGGGGAAGTTAGGGTCAGGGTTAGGGTTTGCCTTGCCCCCCAGCTCTGTCCCCTCTGACCCCACTGTCATAGGCAGTGCTCTGCCATACTGCCACCTCCTGTCTGTAACACTCTTGGAGCACTCTGATTGATTGTTTCAGTAACCAATCAGAGTGCTCCAAAAGCGTTACAGACAGACAGACTAAGCCCTTTATTATATTAGAATTTTATTATTAATGGAAGACCTTATGAACCCCAGCGATAGATCAGAGCCTCCCTGCGCTAGGCACTTTGCAAACATACCCTTTGAGATTATTAGATACGTTATGTCCATGTTTTTACAGATACAATTCAATTGTGACTGCAAATCTTAATATTAATAATCTAACAGTGTGTGAAAATCTGGGAGCCGGAGGTCAAATATTCAGATTCCCATTTCTTTTGTGAGCATAAAAATCAAGCAGGCAGCTGCAACTACAACCAAAGGAGACTAGGCTCCCAGCTCTACTGAAAATTTACTCCCTTCTATGCCATATGTCTTCCTAGTTTGGATTTCATAACTAAGTTTCTTCTGTGCTTTAATGTTACCTTCTTTTTTAACACTGAAGTAATATGGAACTATTTATATTGCCAGAAATATGTTTACAGTCATATCTTAACCCACTGTAAGACTTATAAAGTAGGTATCTCACCTGTAACTTGAGTAGGTGCAATCACTTGACTTGCACTTGATGTAGAGACTTCTGGAGCAACTTCAACAGGCAGGGGCGGGGAGGTTCTCTCAACCACAGCTGCTTAACATGGAACATAAAACAATCATAGTAAGGCAAGTTTCACCAGCTGCACATGCAATATTGAATTAGTCTGACCATTAAGAAGCTTGTGGATTGTGGCTCTGCTCTGGCTCCTTGCAGCAGTGACAGCACAGTCTGGAGTCAGGGCAGATCTGTGATCCGCTACCTGGCATGCCTTTGCCTGGAGCATGGAGGCTGCAGATCACGGCTCTGCCCTGGCTTTGGACCACTCTGTCACCGCCACAAGATTCCTGCCCAGCTCTGGAGTAGCTCCATGTCCTGCCAGCAGGGGCGGTGCTACAGAGGGACTTGGGGGGGTGGGGGGCTATAGTCACCCCAAAATTCCCTTTAGCCACACCTCCCAGCAGTGCTGCCACTGCTGTCCACTCCACACAGGTAGCGACAGCTGAGCCTGCTCTGCTCCCAGCCACAGCACAGCCTCCCCTCAGCCCCCCGCCAGGAAGAAGCTGGCGTCACTGCTGCCTGCCAGTGCTGCTGGGGGCTGGTCTTCACAGAAACGCTGGCCCATGCTATCACAGGGTGGCTGCTGCTGGGGTCTCCCTGGAAATCTGCTCCAGCCACACAGACAGGGGCTGCTGGGAAATGGAGTCCACTGCTGGCTGGATCCAGCCCACAGGCGTGGACTTTGCCCATCCCTGATCTAGTTCAAATACTGTATCCTGTTTCTGAGGCCCCTGCCATATATTACCATATATTACATAATTAACTGGTTAATCACACAATAAATTTAGACTAGCCACACATGCAAAGTAACACTGACCACACGTGTAAAGCAATTATCATGCAATCAACTGGTTAATAGTGCAATAAATTTAAACCAGTCAAATGTGCGAAGTAATTATCCCACCATAAAATTATCCATCCAGCTATAAAAAGAGCCAGCAGCTACAAAGTTAGTGCTTGATAATGTGTAACAACTTTATAGCTGGTTTCTATCCAGCTTTCTTTGGACATGTGGCAGGGCCCTGGCAGTTGCAGGAGTGGATGATTTAAAGGAAGAACATATGAACAGAGTATTTCTAGAATAATTTATCCCGTTCTTTACCTTTCATGGCATCCAACATCTTTTGTTTAGAAATGCCAGAGGATACACCCCTGATCATTCTGTTAAATAGCTATTAATGTATCTATCACCCATGCATTTGTCCAGTCCTTCTTTGAATTTGGGTATCAGAGAATCATAGAAGAGTGGGGCTTGAAGAGACCTCAATAAGTCATTTAGTTCAACTCCCTGCCTGAGGCAGGATCATCCTTATCCAAACTATACCATATAAATCCATTGTCTAACATCTTAGCAAAACTACACAGTCCACCCTGACACAACACAAGATGCAACAATCAAACCTGCCATACATAAAGCAGAGGGACCATGGCAGCCTATATTCTGCTTCTGTAAAGGTTGTTAACATAGGCTCAAGAAAGCCTGGACGAGGGCCATGCCTCCTCCTACAGAAGGCAGTAAAAAACCCAATATGATGATGGGGTAAAATTCCTTCCTGACCCTAAAGCCTGAATGTCTATGAAATCAATGAAATCTAAATCTAAATATGCCAACTGAACTGACCCTGTGTGGAGGGGCAAGATCCTCTAGCCAGGAACTTCCGGGTTAAAGTGCTAGCAGGAGCACTGGCAAACCTCAGTAAAAATTCCCAGCCTTGGCTGCAGTCAACACATAATGCCTCTGAGGAAGGCTTGAAAAAACCCCTGACACATGTAGCCATAGAGAAGTGGAGAGAATTCCATCCCAGCTCCATGAGGCAATCAGCAAAACCTAAAAGCATGGGAAATACCGACAGTAGAAAATAGGCATAGCTATGCCTAGATCATCCCTGACCAATGGTTGCTCAACCTTGCTCACCTTGCAGGGGTCGTTTGACTCCAGTACTCTTTCCTGCCATGGCAGGGGGTCGGACTTGATGATCTGCTCAGGTCCCTTCCAACCCTATTAACTATGAAACTAAACCTGTTTTTGAACACCTCCAGTGATGGAGAGACCACAACTTCTGTAGGTAGTCTACTCCACTGCCTTACTGTTCTAACAGTGAAGAAGCTTTTCCTGATATCCAATCTAAACCTACTTTGCTGCAACTTTGAGCCATTGGTCTGTGTCCTACTTTCTGCAGCAAGAGAGAAAAGGTGTTCTCCCTTTTCTTTATGGCAGCCCTTCAAGCATTTGAAGACTGCTAACATGTCCTTCTTAAGCTCCTCTTCTACAAGCTGCACATGGTTAGCTTCTTTAGCTTCTCCATGTATGACTTGCTTTCCAAGATCTTTATCATTTTTGTTGCCCACCTTAGGACCCTCTCTAACTTCTCCACATGCTTTTTAAAATGTGGTGCCCAAACTGCACACGGTATTCTAAATGAGGCCTAATCAGTGCCAAGTAGAGACCTTCCATGTCTTGCACTTAATGCTTCTAGTGCAAGCATTAATGCTTTTATTGATGTACATATGGACTATACTATCTGCTTCTACAATCTATACTATTGGCCTCTACAACCTCCTGTGGTAATGAGTTCAAACCTCAAATTAACTATACCCTGCATAAAAAGTACTCATTCTTATTATTTTTAAACTGTCTCTTGCTAACTTTAGTGGGTGTCTCTTAGTTCTAGGATGGGGTGAATAACAGTTCCCTATTTGCTTTGTTCACACCCTTCAGCTAAATACAGACATTCAAGATTAAGATGGGTTCAAAATGTCCACCTGATTTAAACCTAGTTTGTCCCAGTGCTGACCTTATATTTACAGACCCGCTCTCAGTGACCAGAAATCAGTGCAAACCTGTAACTGTACAGAAGTTACATGCATACATACTGGTCTAAAAACTGCAGAACCTGTTTTAACATAAATTTGGAACAATGTAGTATAGAACTTACTTGATTTAGGTCAAACCAGTGCATGGAACTGATGTACACTTTCTCTGTGCAGTCCTGGGGCTGGGAAAACCCAGCTGCCAGCCCCA